GATGCGCTTTTTCATAATGTTTGACTATCTTGGCTAGAACTGGGATGAAAGCATCACTTTAAGATGAAAGGCTCATCTTACAGACGAGTAGGGTGGAGGATTTCTGCATCTGGTTTACACTGCATCATCACCACACCTTGTTAGACTGTGCAGTGAGTGAACAGAAAAGTTGTTTGTAGAATTACATTGAACAAGATAATTTCTTGTTTAATATCTTGTTTTAGTCTCTATAGCTTAGGGGGATTGTCGTATCATTTTGTTTTTGTGCAGAAAAAAATCAAATGACAATTTAAGATTTTCTAATCTAAAGGTATTATGCCTCACATTTTGAGGACATTTGCTGCTGAGTTCCCATAGTTCATTTTCTTCGTTTGGTCAGGGTTTAACCTGACCCAAACAAAAAGCTTGTATCTTCATTTTTACAACACACATGGCAAAAGGAAGATGTCTATACAAAAAACATCTATATTTATATCTCAGTAAAATGTGACTCATGCGTATTTGAAGAAGAACCACTGCAGCTGAGTGCTCACAAGTTTAGCTTAACATTAATGTATTCGTCACACCGACTCTTAGTGGCACCTCAGGCGGTCGTGCACGTCTGGCTGATGTGTGGCCGTGACCTAAAACTATTAAAACAGTTTGAAAGAGGAACAGTGGAAGAAATGTCTGCACTCTGATAATTAAGCTGCCTAATTTCTCTGCCTGCTGAGGTCTTTATTCATTATGTGCTGCCATCAGCAATCAGTGGAGCTTATTATGGAGCGAACAGGCGGGGAGAATATTTTTACTCTGCACAGATAATCCTGCACTTTACCAGCCTTTCAGGGGCCTACATGTGTACCTTTCTGTACTGATATACAGTACACCTTCATATGTTTCTCTACTGACTCATTTGCAGAGCAGGGGGGTTTAAATTCACAGTGTGTGTATGTGTGTGTGTGTGAGGGTAAAGTGTGTGTAAATCCATCTGCTGCTGTACTCGGGGCGATTTTTGTCCCTGGAGGGCGGCGGCGCGCAGCAGCTGTTGTATGAATGAATGTGCGTGTGTGTATATATATGTGTGTTTGTTTAAGTGTGTGTGTGTTAAAGCCTCTGGGAGAGACAGAGCCTGTATGTCCAGCCGACACACCAGCCGAAGAGCAGCTACCATTACACTAAACACACAATCTTACAGGTCGATTGGATGACTGCGGATCAGTTTGTAGAGATGCAGAGCACTGAATCATGTCCTCGTGCTTTCTACCTCTTCAGCTCGTCTGTTAGCGCTGCTGATCTTTGCACTTTATGAAAAATACCGGCTGTAAGTGAAACGAAGATTGCCACAAAATTGACAAGATTGACTTGATTCGTGATGGCAGCAGTAGGAAATAATTGAAGGGACTTCTGGTTAAAGGAACCATGTGAGCGTCAGTGTCGTGCCTGCATTTCTTTTCACTCTTACCTTTTGAATCAGCGACTGGCCTTATTTTTATATTCTGCCCTCAGGTTTGAGTTACCGGTACTAAAAAATCTTAAAGCCTTTTCATCATTAATGTTGGTTATTGAATATTCTGCAGGTTCACGCCTAGGGGCTGTCCTGCTCCAATCTGCTCTAACGCTCAGTATTGCCTCGTTACTCTGCAGGACTTAAAACACTGATGTTTGCAGATAACCTTCGTCCACTGCTTTCTGCTAATGCAGCAATCTGCCCTGTGCTGATTATCCTGTTATAGAGCACACACACACACACACACACACACACACACACACACACGCACACACACGCACACACACGCACACACACAGCACAACACACAGCACAACACTAAATACTTGCAATGTCTTTGAAATTTTTAACCATATAAAACTGCCTGACAAACAAGTAAAGACCGAATGACTCTTTACGGCAATACGGTACTTAGCTAAGTTTCTCATGTGAGATATGTGAGATGAAGTCTGTAAGTAAGTTAGACAGTTGTTACTGTGGAGGTGCAGAAAGCTGCAGAGAACACTGCAGTCGAGATGTGCTGCATCTTCAATAGACATATACGGCTTTATCCTTTGTTTCTATTCCACAAAGTCCTCGGCCTGCATCCTTATTTTGCTGCATTCAAGTATTCCTCAACAACTTATATATCAAGAATAAAGAAAACTTGATTTCTCCAGGTTTTCACTTTCAGGGTTTATAAAAAGTTACAACCAAATTTTACACATGTAAGCATCAATTAGTATACCTTTGAACTGAATGTCATGGGAACAAACAATTTATCTCTAAATAAATCAAGTCAAACTGCATCAGTCAACATGACTGAACAGTTAATAGGCTGTCTAAGTTACGAGTATCAGGTATGTATGTATGTATGTATGTATGAATGTATGTAATAATTATTCAGTTGTGCTCTTAAGCGATTATCTCTTGAGATTTGTATCTTTGTAGTTTTATATCTGTCACCCTTTATTTCGTTCCTTGCAGCATTATTCTTTATCAAGGTACAAAACAATGCAGAAAATGAATTCCTTTAAAATAATCAAAAAAGACACTTAAGGTTATGGGCTGTCCTTCAAGAAAGAGTTTTTGCACAATACAGTCTTACCTGTCCAACTGCTAAAATATAGTTTTACTATTTTTTCCACTGAAGGCACAACATCTTTTAATGACACAATATTAAATAATAAATCTGTTAGATCTTAAATGTTGTGAACATTTTACTGTGAAAGACCTACAGTCTATGAGCTTGAGTATGGTTACTAGGCAGACGAGTGACCTTTAGTTAATGCTATAACAGCCGAGTTATTATAACTGGCAAAAGATGAAGCAAGCCTCCCATAGAAACAGACAACACATTTGTGACATTAGCTACTTTCTAGTCTTTTACAAAGTTTCAAAACCAGCATCCAGAGCTTCAAAGTCTCACACTGACACGAAACAATAGCTATTTTCATATTTTCTATGTTATTTTAGAAAATATTTGCATTTAAATGAGCGGTGGCAACCACAAGATTTCCAGCTCAGTGAACAGTATTCGTCAAATGTGTCCTTGTGGTGCAGAGCAATATCAGGCCTCGGGTCAAATCCTAAGCCGTCGAGCTTTTCATGAAGGCAGATCTAAGGACATAGAATAATGTCTCAATGTAAGTTAAAATCACAACTTGCATTTAATTTTGGAAGAGCAAAGGTGCAAGCAAGCTTTATTCTGTTGCATTTCCAAACATACTGATAGTCAGTGTAGCGTATGTGTTCACAGCTGCTCTGAGCACTGATGGCTGGACATGTTTGCCATTTTGCACAAGTCACACACATGGCTGACTCTCCCTCTTTGTCTTAGAGTTTTCGTGTCTGTCTTACTCTCACACACAAACCCCCCCCCTCCCTCCCCCTCCCCCACACACACACACACACACACACACACACACACAGGCATTTACTCACAGGTGGAGCAGGAACAGTCCTGAAGCGGCGCACTGCTCTATTTTAAGTCTGTTTCACGCTAACACGCGTCCCTGTGCTACACCTCTTATCTTCACCTGTCTGCCACTGTGCTTTCACGATCTGTCTTCTTTATGGCCTCGTTCGACGACATTTATTTTATAACTCCCCTGAGTAAAAAACAGATCTTACTTTTCAGACATTTCTCACATTTTTCTCCTCCATATCTTGGTGTCTGCACCCCTTGTCTCTCACCTTTCACTAATCCGCTTGTTGCTGTGGTAACTCAGAATGGAAGGCGTCTGTGGGCATTTTTGAGCCCTCATTAAAAGATACACCATGGAGTCTTGGTTGACATGTAGATAAAAAAACAACAGAAAACAGACCAACTTTTCATTTGCATATTCAAAATGCATACGTCACCTGAATTTAAGACTGCTGTCATACACAGCTAACATTTACCCGTGTCGGCCATGGAGGTCTCATCCATCTCTGTCACCAAGTGGCCCTCCCTTGCTTGGAAACAAGTGTGTTTAAGGTAATTGGCTCATCTACGCAGGGAGCATGCACATCCTCTGCACTGTGGCATAAAAAAAGGGGGAGCCCCATGATGTGCAGGCTCTCTTCGCTCATTAGAAAGAGCTGACAGTGCAGCTCTAAAGCCCCTAGTCCTCCTCCGCAGTGCCCATGCTGGATCGACCCCAGAAGATAACAGTACAGCACTCTCTCAGATGCCTTAAAAGCAGCCGCACTGCTCTCCAGATCCTCATCTGGCCCTTGGACAATATCGCTCTCAAACTGCAGCAGTGCGCTAATGATGCTCATTGGGAAATCCCATCAGTTTTTTGTTGTTGTTGTTTTTTTGTTTGTTGAAAAGGTATGGTTTGGGTTGCACATAATAACTTTTTAGTTACTTTTACAGAGAGCAGGGGCTGCTTTAGTTTTGACGGATTTGAAACACAGATTTTTATATCCCTGACTGGTGACACATGATGGTGCCTATTTCTGAGATCTTTTGTAACGCAGGATAATGGAACAACAGAGAAGACGTTCATTATAGAGTACAATAAAAGACAAAATATGGGAAATATTCAAAATGGCACATAGTTAACAGCAGTCCCTATTTAAACATGTATTTTCAATCACACACATACACAGTGATGTCTGCACATGTCCTGATCCATTTCTGAAGATGAGTGTAAAGTCACCTGTTTTAGTCTCATATGATCAGTGAGCCCATGTGTGCATGCTATATAGGACGCGCCTCCACACTCCTATGGGGTATTTGTCACCGCAGTTGAGTGATAACACGCACACATACACAGTCATGCAAGGATATTCCCATACACACAAAGGCACATAGGTATATCCATCAAAAGATCCTTTTAAAGAAACTGTTCTTTCTGCTGCAATTAGTTTTAAGGTGAGAAAGTGAACATCAGGTGAAACCAGGACTTTCATTTTTTTTAGAATCATTCCAAGATATTTCCTGAATCTCTGCACATTTGCTCCTCATTAACTGGCTGTTTCTGTCTCCTTTTTCAACCCCCTACCCTTTCTGCCCTTTCCTTCTCCTTCTGTCTCTCTGCAGGATACTGCTGACGGTGGTGGTGATTTTCCGAATCCTGATAGTCGGCATAGTGGGTGAGAAGGTTTACGAGGATGAGCAAATCATGTTCATCTGCAACACCATGCAGCCCGGCTGCAACCAGGCTTGTTACGACAAAGCCTTCCCTATCTCGCACATCCGCTACTGGGTCTTCCAGATCATCCTGGTGTGCACGCCAAGTTTATGCTTCATAACATATTCTGTCCACCAGTCAGCCAAAGCAAGGGACCGAAGCTACTCCCTTTTGCACCCCTACATGGATCACCACGGTCACGGTCACCACGGACGGCATCATGACCATCACGCTCGCAAGCTTCATGCCCGCAACGTCAATGGCATCCTGGTGCATCCCGATAGCAGTAAGGAGGATCACGACTGCCTGGAAGTGAAGGAGATCCCCAATGGACCTCGAGGACTCCCTCAAACCAAGAGCTCCAAGGTGCGACGACAGGAGGGCATCTCTCGCTTCTACGTCATCCAGGTGGTGTTCCGCAACGCACTGGAGATTGGCTTCCTCGCCGGGCAGTACTTCCTGTACGGCTTCAATGTGCCTGGGATGTTCGAGTGCGATCGCTACCCGTGTGTGAAGGAGGTGGAGTGTTACGTGTCTCGTCCCACAGAAAAGACCGTGTTTCTGGTCTTTATGTTTGCTGTGAGTGGCATATGTGTGCTGCTCAACCTGGCTGAGCTCAACCACCTTGGCTGGAGGAAGATAAAGACGGCCATGCGAGGGGTTCAGGCACGCAGGAAGTCCATCTGTGAAGTGCGCAAGAAGGATGTTTCACACCTGTCCCAGGCCCCAAACCTGGGCAGGACCCAGTCTAGTGAGTCAGCCTACGTCTGACAGAGGCTCCTCTGCCTGGGGGCTCAAGGACCTCTTACATTTTGGAGAAGAGCTTTTCCCTGGCCCAGGACCCAGGATCATTAGGGCACAAAACTCACCACTGCATTATTATTCAGGAGCAAGGACAGACTCTGTGTAGCATCAATTTCCAAGTAGACTTTGACACTTAAAGAGACGAGAATCACCGGAATCTCCAGAGGCAACTGTGTTTCTGAAAGAAAGCTTACACCTGAAGCATTCACGATGCAGAGGTTTGCTCTGCCAACGTGACACTAGCTGCCTTCAAAGAACCCAACAGATTAAACTGAGCAATTTCTAAACACTGTAAAGATAGTCTGAGGTTGAACTGTCTGAAGTTCTCTATTATTTGCCTTTGCTGTAGGTCAGAGATAATCCCCTTATTTTCCAATTATGTGCATATGCAAGAGCTTAAGCGTGTGCATGCATACGCATGTGTGGGAAAAAAGCCAATCTCTGACTCAAGTCAGAAAATTGAATGCTAAGCTACTCTAAGCTACCAAGAGAAAGATGATATTATTTCTCATTGTCCACAAGCTTCGAGTGAAGTCACTTGGCGGACAAATAAGCACCTTTTTTAAAACTTACACAAAGACAAACACAAAACCAATAGCACTAAAACTATCAGTGATAACTGGAACACAGTATTTGTTGTCAGTGTACGAACTCTTACTTAAAAAAGTTGTCACTTTTTCTCGTATTCTTTGGTGCATTAGGTCATCAGACGATAGACTGACATTGTAGGGAGCCTTTGTGCAAAGTGAGACACATGGTGCATTCAAGATGAGTATGATTTACTTTTCAACACTGTGTTACACTCCACAATGCTCCCAGTGCCTGCAAGGCATGCTGTTTACTCTCAGAAAAAGGAAAGTATGTCAGTGTTTCCACTTCAGCTTACAAAGTTTGATCCCTGTTTAAGAGGTATTAATTTTTTTTTCAAATAAACAGGACAAAGTATGGTAGTCACATATATTTTAACATGTAACCTCAAGCTTTTTTTCACAAGCAGATCTGGTGCCATATGTCAAAGTTACTGTACATAGATGAAATGTTATAATTACACTTAGCCTTTTTCCTTATGCGGTGTAAATGGGCTTCACTTGAATGGGGAACAGGGGTTTGGGTGGTAATGAAGATTAATCATAGATTGCCAGCTTTAACAATATGTATTATTAATGTGCTCTTTGTTAAGCCTTCACCCTCTAATGGAGACGTTATGTTTCGAAAGTGTTCCCCTTTATAAGGACTTTGAAAAAGGCATGTAACTGAAGCATTAATAGAATGGGTAGATTACGACATGTAATTTTAAAAGAGACTGTTTTATTTATTTGCATCCTGCTCCTGTGAAATGTTATACTTAGCATGCATGAAGATGAAAAATATATGAACATAGAATCCCCTTGTTGGAATATTGAAAGTCAATACCTGAGAGGCTCCAGAACTGCAGCAATAATAATATATAGTATGTGAAAAAAAATATGTGAATAAATTATTATGCAAACAGTGAGTTTTTTCTGTGCTGTGTCAACAAACAAGCGCCGATTGTATCATAATGTTTGAGATTGTTCACAATGATATAAAAGTTAAACTACTCACATTATCTAATATCCTTATATCCTTATATATAATATCATTATATAATATATAGCTTGTGCTAGCGTGCTAAATTATCAGCTTTTCCATTACAACAAATGTAGGCTTCTTCTCAAGTAGCTTGCAGTGTAGCTGTTAACATACACACTAGTCCTGCAGTGGGTTTTGCCTCTGGTTCCAGTGTTATGTTGTGTTAACAAGCTGAAATGAACAATTCTACTGACTCTTCCTTAAATGTGTAAACAGCTTTTTCTATTGTAGTTGGTAAACATGGCGTTAATTTGTAACTATTTAATACACAGAGAAGCTATTCAAAGGAATTACATTGCAGACATTTACAGTATGTTTTGTAAAAAATGTGTTTACCACCAATCTTACTATTTATATCAAATGTATAATGAAGAGCAGAATTAATATAAAGGTAAATAAGAGAAAAAAAAATGTAGCCTACATAATTACAAAATCTGAGTTACTTTCTAATAAATTTCTTTGCACCACTGGTTTACAAGGCAGGGTTGTTTTTGCTGTAGCATGAAATATAAAGCATATTTTTGCGCTGTGAAGAACACATACTAGTCTCATACAACACAGAGTCTGGAGTACAATGCATCATCTTCAGCTGCACAGATTGAAAACCTGCTTTAACATCTATTATTCAGCAGACACAAAGTGATACACATCTGAGAGATACATCAGCGCACTCTAAGTTTTGTGGATAAATTATAGATATTTAACCCACTCATCTCTGTGGTGTAAAACTCAGAACAAAAACTTCTGAATACTCAATGAGGGTTTTGCTCATTTTCTCTGATAAACCCCTTGTTTTTTTTTGTGTAAAATTATTCACTTCATAGAAGAAGTTTTTTTCAGTTTCTCAGACTTAACGTGACTCATAGGCAGGTAAGTTATTACAGCCGACCAGATAATTTCAGTAATGACACGGTTACTGGGGGAAATGTGTGGGGGTGGTGAACCTTTTAGCGTTATTAAACCTTCAGTCGGTACAGGCGTCATGACGCCGCATCATGGGGAACAATGATAGTTCCGAGGAACCGGAGGAACAGGATCAAAGATGATGAATAGGAGTGTTACTAAAGTCGATTGTTTGATAGGGTGTAAAGTAATGAATCTAAGCTGGGCCTCGTTCTTATTGACATGAGGGATGGGGATGAGTGACTCTGTGTGCTGTGTGGTATATTATGTACATGCAAATCAACAAGCGCCCAACATACACCGAATGTATAAACATTCAGGGTCAATAAATACCTAAACAAGCACATTTCTGAGGATGTTGCGGGGCCGGTTGCCGTGGTGACAGGAGGGTAGTAATGATGTTAAGCTGCAGAGCGCAGGGCAGAAACAGCAGCACTGCACCACCTCTCCTGCTGACTCTCCACAGCAGCAGGTCAGAGCACAACACACACACAAGTTCACACTCATTCAAGGCAAAAGTTAGAGACATGCTTTCCACGGATGAATGCTACAACTACAAGTGTGAGCTGAAGGTATACAGTAAGTACAGTTCTTACCTGCTAAAGGTATTTTTAGTAACGATTATGACTTAAAGTCCAAAACTAAAGGTGAAGTGTTAAGTTTCAACACATGTATTGCACAGTTTTATTATCAAATTATTACACATAACAGGAAATAAAGGAGGTGTAAAAAAACACCCCCCACCATCAAACAAATGTGGACATTGATGTTAAGTTTAATGTAGGTTAATTTGACTAACATTCAATTTCATGATGAAGTGTATAATGCCTCTTCACCTTGACTTTGTCACTGATGACAACAGATGTTGATCTGATGTTAATCAAAGTTATTTTGTTAAGCCAAAGTCCCATAGGTCTTCCAAATGTGGTGCACACGACAGTAATAATATATACTATAATATATATTACTATATAGCAATATACAACTGATGATGACATGAACACACATTGGGCGTATTTAATAATTTATTGGGGCTGTTAAATAACACAAATCCTTTCAAATATATGTTCCTTTCATTGTCAGTGTTTATGAGTGCTGCCATAAACAAATTGATCATCATGATAAAGTCCCAATTACCATCATCAAGAAATGCATGCTTTAATTTCCAACAAAGAAGCTTTTAACTCATCTCTTGACACAGCCTGACTGGACAGCCCTGCAGAAAACATGTTCAGGGTTTTTTAAAGGTCTAGATCATATTGTACTTATCAACAGAGTTGTCATTCATCATCCACACACCTTCACATTTGTACCATCAGTACAGTTAATTAGGTACAGCACAAGTGTGTCTGCAACTTCCTCATACCTGCCTCTAAAGATGAGACTGACATGACATAACGTGTACATTAAAAAAGAACAAATGAAGTACAAGTAAAGAGATACCCTTCCCCCCAAAGAAACAGAATCACATACATAGCTGCTGTGCAAACTGTTTAAAACATACACGTGCATGCAGAAAAGCAGATCTTCCATGAACAAGCTGCTGCAGCATGAGCCATATGCTGGCCTGAACTTTACTAGGGAATGCATTTTGTCCATTTATAAACTAAAATAAGCATTTTTTTCAAACCATTTTCCCTTTGTGTTTGATGTGCTGTTATTTTCTCAACCAGCTTTAAGTTGTTATTAACTTCCAACTTCACTAAGTGCCCAAAATGAGATCTGCAACATTTAAATCTGTTTATAGTTGATTCTGAAACGAGTTAAAGCCGCATAGCACTTTAACACAAAATCTCTCCCTTTCTGCTGCAGGTGTGCAGCAGGCGTATTGATGTTAGACAGTAATGCTGACTTAATGCACTGTCCTCATTACTCAGCAACTCATCTTTATTCTGGGCTTAAAACTTACTAAGCCTGAAGACATCAGTTCAACCCATAAATACATTTCAAACATACCACGTTGCGCTCACCTTTACAATAGATTTACAAAATACAACTCAGTGCGTCAAATATTTTCCCTCCAAAAGATGAGTGAAACCAGAAAAATGCAGTCAGAAAAGAATGCTTGTGTCATTCTCAGGTTGCTAAACTGATTATGAAATACATGTTAAATCTCTCTCACATGTTCACATCCTTCTCTGATCCGACATGAAGGATGTTCAGCTGAGCCTCTTCACTCCAATCTTTCACTCCCTACACTGTTCACCAATAATGTATTTTCCTGCGTATAAATCAGACTGAAACATACTTACAAATGAAATCATAAAAACAAGCAGCAAATGTCACCATCATTGATTGTACTCAAATGTCATTAAATATATAAAACTGTGTACATTTAGAATGAACTAATTATTTGTTTGTGTGTGTGTGAGGAGGGGGGGGGTCAACTTTTGTTTTCTCTGAGAAAGTAGGTTAATCGTTATTTCCATTAAACTGAGTCCAGGGTACATCTTGTACTTTAAATGTCAAGTTCTTGCTCCGTAACTGTTGTAATAATTCCTTGTGTGACTATCACTGTGTTAGGCTTTGTAAACACTGACAGCTGCAGAAAGGTTTTTAGTCATCTCACCTGTCTGAGTCTCTTGCAAATGTTGACTTTACAGTAAATAGAACTCACATTGAAAAACTTAACAGATATTTGTCTCTGTTAGGATGACTCTGTATGAGCAGATTGATTGACATTGACAGTCTATTCTTAGGCATTCATCCTTGTCTCCTCATCAAATTTTCATCTGCTCTCTGACCTACTCTCCACAGCTGATTTATAACTATCCCCGTAATAAGACAGGGATAGAAACATCATTTAATTATTCCTCTCCTTACTCCTTGGATATTTCCCTCTCTGCCTCTTCACTCTTTCATAAAGATGATGTTGCCGTTGGGTTATTCCTCTCTTGAGTCTGCTCCACTTCTACTCTCTTAATGTCTCAGGCCATCAATCTGTGTCAGTCTCCATTCTGCTCCCTGCAAGTGTCTTGGTTTCCTTACATGACATCCCTACTTGGCACGGCCTGCCTGCCCTTCATCTCCATCTGCTCCTCTCCTCCTGCACCTGACGCACTCTGCTTCTTCTTTCCACTGCTCCCTCCACCTCCACATTTTGATTCAGCCCTCCTGCCTTCCTTGGACCTTTTCCGCCCTTGTGTATGTAGGCCTGATCTATCCATCTGAATCTCATTTGAATTTAACATTGAATCCAATGGTTTCCTATTTCCCTCTTTGCTCCTTTTCCTCCATCTTTGTAGCTGTCAAAGCTGCTGTAGCTTAGGTCTTCTGCAGTTCTGCAGAAACACCATTCCTCAGCCTCTCCTCCATCTTAAACTGTCTGTGACCCCCGATTCATCAAGGGAACGCTGACGAAAAAAACCCTGAGACATCTCCTTCCAGCAGCTCACAAGCTTTCATTATCTTCCTCTGCAACTCTACTGATGCTGGATTGACACCTCATTCACCTCTTTCCCTTACGGCTAATCTCTGAAATATTATATTCATGGAGGAGACAACATATACGTTTTTCCTCGTGATATCTTTTTAAAGCCTTGACATTCTTAGTGTCAAGACTTCCAGATCTTCTCATGACTGTTATGCCATCAAACTGGATTAATTCATACTTAGGAATGTGCTCTATGTGTCTGTCAGATTTGGCCTGTATCTCAAAAATACCCCCATCAACCCTTTGACCAGCTCTGCAGTACACTCAGCTCAAATCTGGATCTAATGCGACTGTTCTGGTAATTAAAAAAAGTGGAAATGTTGGGGTCAAGTTACTTATATGACATGGGTAACAAACAGTCTACTCTGCTTTTTGAAGAGCGTTTCTGGTTTAGTCTGTTTAAGAACACACCATGGTGCAAGATAAATCCAGTTATAATCTTTGAACAGCAACTATTACTGTACTTTTTGCCCTTGTCACAAGACTTGGCCTTCAAAGAAAGTTTTTAATCTCAGAAAATGCTTCTTAGGTAAGATGGTGCC